AATAGTATTGCGTCACTCAATGCTTCTAAATGATCATCCATGTTCGGTGTCGGAAATACCTTACGTATAGTCTGCGAGTTTAACTTTCTATAGTCAACAACTAATCTTGGCTCACCATTTTTCTTCCTCACTAATAACACAGGAGATGCGTATGCTGATTTCGTTTCCGTTAATAGACCTGCCGCCTTCTATTCACTGACAATTCTGTCGATGATGTCTCTCTCCACCGCACTTGCTCTGTAAGGTCTGCTTACCACTGGTACGTTGTTGTCCAAAATGTCCATAGTTAGTGCGTTGGTACATCCTAGTTCGAATATATTAAACGCAAAACATAGACGATACCCACTTCGATTAGAATGCACTTCAGTATACATACGTATATCCGCCAATAGTTCCACTTCGCTTGTGTGACTGTTACTTAATATAGCGGCACACATTTCACGAGATTTGAGTCCGATGCACACCATTTTTTTTGTTTCGGCCGCAGTGAATTTTAAACTTCGACAAATCCCGCACCTTATCATGAAAATACGCAAATACCGTTTCACCACGTTGTTGGATACGTTCATCTATTTTCTTCCATGTTTATGTAATACTCTCTTGACTGGTAAACATAATTTCGAAAGATGTGATACATTTATTCATCGTATCCAGTTCTGAGATATGACTCAAATACCAATGTCTTGCTGCACCTCCCAGATGTGATCGCCCCGCTTCTAAAGTGTAGGTATCAGGCCATCCATTTAAATGAGCAACGGTTTTTAAAGCATTAACCCATTCGGTAGCTGCATCCGTGTCTCCTGATTCACCTGTAAACATCGGTATGATCTGCTCCTGATTTTGTACCACCGCTGGTACAACGGGCGGGTCATTCTGTTTTTGGTCAAGCAACCTATTGACGATTGCGTCCATCTGTTGTTCTCGCAATCTATTTTGTTCCAACATTGCGAGTACGAGTCTAATGATATCTAACGAAGCCGTAGCCGTAATACTATCAGCACTATTTTCTTTGTTATCGTTTGCCATCTTATTAATCGAAACAATTACCGATAATTCTTATCATCCACAAATCCACGATGTCGCACCGAACACCGGTGACCAAGTACGATTTTTCCCAAACGACAAAACGTAATACGACGGTATTACCACTTTTTTATTTATTTTTAAGGTTATGTCGGTATAACCATGAGTAAATATCAGAAAAATATTAAGTCATGATTATTATATTGCCGTCAAGGATAACCGTTGCCTGGAAAAAAATAACCATTGCATTGCAATTTGCTATAGAAAATAGAAAAAAAATAGTTCAATAAACACCGTTCAAAAGTAATCATCCTTAGGGGGGCGCGTTTATAGCGTTCCTAGCTTAATTAAATGAAAAGGGAAGCTAAAATGTATGAAAAAATGAAAGCGGACTCTGTCCGCCTGTACGCACCCCCCCCCCCCCAATTCTAACACTGAATACGAATCATCCATAAATATTATATTATATTGGTTGTAACGGTCAAAATTCAAAGACCATTATCGTACATATATTATACAATTTACGACTTCATCGGACAACACCATAAGCGAGTGAAAACCACCGTTTCACCGAAGGCGTCCAGGTGACGATGCCCAGCACCGCACGCGAAATGGTAGTACACATTTTTATTATGATTTAGATATCCGTAACTACACCTGGGCCGGTATTCTTTATTTATTATTATTATCACTATGTGCCATGTGTATGAACACTTATTATTATTATATTCCTTAATTATTAGTATTATGTACGACGGTAACAATTGTGGAGCCTCGAAATAATACACGGTAATAATATTCATTTATATATTATTATTGTGTGTTGTTCCTTTTTATTTTTTTTTTTCAATCCCACATGCTCCGATTTCCGAATATCGGCTGTGGGTTGGTGACTTACAAAGTCCAGTTTCGTCAATGTACGCCCCACGTCAAATATGGACAGGCATCGTGCGAGACGTTACATAGTGTATCATATTATGTAATTATGTATTACTTACATTTATCATTTCCATGCGCTCTTCACAAAACTGAAATATTTATTGATATATTTGTAATGTATATAACCATGTGTATGAGACAACATGCTTATGCTAGAAATAATGAAAATAAAAAAAGTAATAGAAATAAAAAAAAATTCAAAATTAACAACTACATAAGGGGCCAATAAATATTTTTCAAACAAAATTCAATTGTAAACATTTTAATTAGTTTTTTCATAATATTTTGTATATATATTTAATATTTTTAAATATTAACTTTAGTATAATGTATAAAATATGTACATCAATATGTTCATAAGTCACTTCTTTTTTAAAGACTCCATATTTTCATGTAACAATTACTATATTTTTGAGTAAATTAAAGAAATAATGAACAATTATTATATTTTTATTTATTTGTTAATTTATTATTGTGATTAGTTATGGTAACGTGGTACATGAGTTCTTACTGTAGATTGCGCTAGTAAGACGCGACTTTTCATCTGATTTGTTCCTAAACTTTTGCATATTGTTATCAAATCCATCGAGTTTCATTTCAGTCCATCCGTAAAATAGCAGATTGCTGATTAGTCAATCGGCTTGATTACCTCCCCTCCAGCGGCTGACCGATCTGATAAATTAAGAAACACACGGAATATAGGCCGACGTGCAACCATAAATCTATATCCGTGCCGCTGAAGTACGATCTCATTCCGAATAGAGTATATTTAATGTTATACATATTACTTGCAAATATAAATGAATATGAAAATTATTTAGCGGTATTCCGAAGTCGATTGAACAAAGCTTTTAGAAACGATAAGAAACATGTGTTAGAGAAGCGTAATGTTCGCCATATTTAATTTTGCATACTGAGTATTTATTCAGGTGTTAACAACAACAATAATTAATGACAATATATTATTTGTACGATGAATAACGAATAAAAATATTAAAAATATTTTTTGGTGTATTTCGTACATTAGTTTTAAATTCGAACGAGTATACAGTTATGAATTTATTATACAGTTTAGAAAAGTTTAATAAATAGCACAGTATAGCCTTTATATAAATACATAATTATTCTTTTAAAATGATCCAAGTTAAATACTAGACATTTTTTTAAATGTATAAAATATTATTTTTTTGAGCGACAACACCTGAAAACGTATTTCCAATATTCAACATTCAATATTTACTTTTAACAGAATTGTTGAAAAATCTTATCTCAATCAATCCTTAATACAAACATGTACTGCCACTACTGGTATCTAATGGCCGTTCACAACAAAGATATTAGGTATTCTAAACTTAATTTTAGGACCCTTTAAGCAAGTGAAAAATTACGTAGAAATAAAATCTTAATTACACTCACTTATATGTAATGAAATATTGAAATGTATGATTGACATGTTCCAAGAGACTACATTAATTTAAAACAAAAATTTTTAAAAAAAATGCCGGTCAAAAGTGTCCATGTTTTTATAGGTACATTATTATTTATTTAGATACCTACAAATTAAGACATTTCATTGATTAACTTTATTATAAAATAATGCGATCAATCATCATCTACAATTATTCAAGTATTATTTTACATCAATTAATTTATCATACATTTCATTGCAGTACTAAGACTGTATACAATTTTTGGAAGTTTCAAACTGTAAATAAAATTATGTACCTCCGTTATGTAATTTCGGATTCTCATCTTTTTTTTTACATTTTACATTTTTTTCGTTTTTATTTATTTTCAACCTATACGTTTAACATGAATATTATCACGTTTTGATTTACATATGTGATGGAAATGGAAAGGTTTGAAAAAAAGTTCATCTTCAAACCCATTTTAAAACTTATAAAATTATATTACATATTATATAGAATAATTAGTTTTTGTTTTAATTTTACGATATTTTTTTTGTCTGGAAACCCAATTTTTATAAAATTCAGAATAATACTTTTTGGATTGTAACCACACAAGATGAACCAAACTTTGAAAATACATCCTGCCTCACGCATGTCACACGTCTTAGCTTCTGACACGATCCCCCGTAGATCTGTTCTCGTGTGCATGCTCTGTTATAAATGTCTAATTTCTCACATTATATATAATGTAATTTAAGCAACTGTGTACGACGTATAAATAGAGTAATACAATAGATACATAAAGCACCAAACATTTTAATAGACGAAATGATAGAAGTCCGAACAGAGACCGATCTTACACTAGAGATAGAAATAACTACGAAGAAGTAATGGAAAATATTAATACACTTGTAGTTACAGAGCTTTGCAATCTTAATTTCTTATTCGGGTTTGGGGAGCGGGATGTATTCGAGTGATTATTATCTTAGTCCATGATTGTCGTCAACGATAACCGTTTCCTGGAAAAAAAATAACCATTGCATTGCAATTTGCTACCTATAGAAAAAATAAAAAAAATAGTTCAATAAACACCGTTCAAAAGTAAGCATCCTTAGGGGAACGCGTTTATAGCGTTCCTAGCTTAATTAAATGAAGATGGACGCTGAAATCTATGAAAAAATGAAAGCGGAGTACGTCCGCCTGTGAGCCCCCCCCCCCCATTCGAACACCGAATACGAATCATCCATAAATATTATATTATATTGGTTGTAACGGTCAAAATTCAAAGACCAATATCGTTCATATATTATACAATAGTGTCCTCCGTCCCGCTGCCGTCTCTGCCCACACCAAAGAAAACGCCGATGATACTGATATGTTAATCTTTGTCACGATTAAAGATATACTGGTTGCCGAACGAGTAATATTTACTACAATATTTATTGACATTCACAAGTTCTTATCAAAGTACTCTGACTACTAGCGCATCCGGTGTTGAACATTTTAAACTATAGTTAATAACCAATATTGAATATCATATCATATTCAAAAAAAAAAATATATAAATAACTTAGCTGTGTAAGTATGTAATATTGTATTTTTTTTTTTGTTTATATAATAAACTGAAGTATATTGTTGAAGAGGGTTATTGGACTTTAGATGACATTTTTAAAGAGCATAGTTATAGTAATTTAGATTCAACAGTATTTGAATGCATAGTTTATTTCTTAGCTGGGTAAATCAAATTAACTGTTACTTGAATAGTATTACATGTTTTTATATTATTATCTACATGATTTTTTTTATGTGTCATAGGTATGTAACAAAGAGATAATTAAAACATACTAAATGTGAAGTCTGTAAATCCAGTTTACAAGTTGCTAAAGGTAAATCATCTAATCCAGCAGCAGATTTAGTCAATTTGAAAACTAGAGGATTCTTAACCCATGTAAATCAAAATTTGTTTCAAATTATTCAATTATTGGAAGTATGTTTTCTGAAACATGCAGGCTCAGCGAATCCATTTGATGACACATTTGAAGATTTCTTCAGCACTGAGAATTTAAAATTGTGTTTTCCGTGTGTAGATCATAAAACTGAAGTTTTAACTGATATATGTGTAATGTACATTACAATGAGAATGAGGCAGTATAGTTTGCTGAAAAACCAAGAGACAAAAAAAATTAATAAAACAAAAAAAAAAATTGCTAAATTAGTTGTAACATAAGAAGATATTATTATTCATAAATTATAAAATAAAACCTACAAATCTTGAAAAATATACTAATTTGTATTGTTTTTTTCTGTTTGACTGAAATATTTAAAATTAAAATTGTGTATTAGTGCCTGTATTCTGTATGTAACTGTATTTTGTACCTTTTAGACTGTAGTCTTTTTTTTCCTATTTAACCGTCAATATCTTGTAATCTGTTGTCTTCTGTTCATCATACATATTAACATATAACTTTTAAATCATTGTCCGGACTCTGGAGTATTAGTAATTTGTAATTATTACGCATTATTATTATATTACTACAGTATTTTAAATTATAAATTATAAATCGCAAATATACACTAGATACTAGATAGCGACAAAGGACACAGTACTTTTGATAAGAATATTTGACGGTCTTCTTATCATGGTTCGTTCGGCAACCAGTATATCTTTAATCGTGATCTTTGTACATCACTATCACCGCTGCCTAGTACCCGTGGCTTGGATGTGACCGACCGACATTACGTCACTAATTACAATCCAATTAAAATTATAGTTGAATACCGGCCAATCGAAACAATATTCATAATTGTGTAACAACCTCGTATTTCGAGAGTGATGCACGACGCGTCCGACGCTGACACAGATATCTTTTTTTTTCTTTTATCTCTTCATCGGACAACACCATGAGCAAGTGAAACCTTCGTTTCACGTAGGGCGTCCTGGTGACGATGCCCAGCACCGCACGTGCAATTTTAATACACATTTTATTATGATTTAAATATCCGTAACTACACCTTGGCCGGTATTCTTTATTTATTATTATTATCACTATGTGTCATGTGTATGATCACTTATTATTATTATTATTATTATATTCCTTAATTATTAATATTATGTACGACGGTAACAACAGTGGAGCCTCGATATAATACACGGCAATAATACATTTATATATTATTATTGTGTGTTCGACATTGTGTGTTTTCAGCTGTATACGACGTATAAATAGAGCAATACATTCACGACCAAACATTTTAATAGACGAAATAGCAGGTTTGGTAGAAGTCCGAACAAAGACTAATCTTACTCTAGAGATAGAAATAACCACGAAGAAGTAATGGAAAATATTACACAAATTAAAACACTTGTAGTTACAGAGCTTTGTACCTAAATTATTTATTTGGGTTTGGGGAGCTGGATGTATTCGAGTGTTTTTAACATACGAAGAAATAGGTCTCCAATAAAATGTTGAGCTGCAAAAAAAGGTTATGTTCATTGCCATATTTCTTTAATCCCTTAACTTCTGAGCAGTTCATCCGTAACGTGGATATTTTATAAGAAAATGTTGGATTTCATTTGAATTTCTCAAAATGGGTTAGTAACAAATATGTTTTACCTACATAATACTACCTAGTAGTACCTACCTACCGAATGAGACGGCATGAACACGGCAGACCGGTGTCTTATGAAGTTATGAATAACAACGCGTAGTTTTCCTGTTATATTAGTCTCAATTCCGGAACAATGACTATCACGGGTCGGTCGGCCGGGATTATCAAAGCGAGCCGACGCGATGAGAGCCCCTTAATCGATCAAACCTACGTTTGCTAGATCCTTTGTATACAATGAGGATAATATTTTAGGAGATGGTATTCATAAAATGTGAGGTAGCTGTCTACCGGTGGCGAGTAATTTAAACTAGCGGTTTCTACTCGGTGGAAAAAGATTTGGAAACTGCACAACAGTAGTAAATGTCCGGAAGATTATACGAGGGGGCGACAATGTAGTGTTACGGTCCGACTTCCTGGGCCCTTGGTGACCTAGGTGGCTTGTTGGTATTGTTAATCGTCGTAATTAAATTTCCGGTATTGTGCTCGGTTTCGCGTTACTGGGTAGACATCTCCATTCTCCGTGTGTGTCTAGGGGTTGCGATTGCCGCGCCTGTGGTCACAGCGTGGATACCCATTATATTTACTTAAGTGTTGAAAAATAACAATAAAATATGTGGCCTTCGCCGATAAGTATAGAATAATATTATTTACTATGGTTGTATTGTATTAGCTGTTACTTACCATTTTTTATTCTGTACTGAGTAAGTGTACTTAGATGAGGAACACATCGCTTATAGCATAAACCGACCAGTAATATTTTATTTCATTTATTGTTCATCGTACACATTATTTCTTATTATTTAATTATATTAAATCAAAATGATTCTCTTTAAACAATTTTTAATAATGCTTACATTTATAGTAATTTCAGTTTTTGTTATGCCTGCAGCTACTGTACCAAATATAGAAAAATTAAAATGTAAGGATTAATGTACTGATTAACAATAATTATATTTGTGTTATGACTTTTATATTGTCGAAATATATTTCGAAAAATTATTATTGTTGTTTTATGACAATCTAGAGACAAACAGAACATTTTAACATTTGTTACTTTTTAGTCTAACTAAATATTACATAGTTTATATAAATTGTATACATTGAGATGTTACGAAAAGTATATTGTTTATTATTTTAAGATAAAATATTTTGACATTTTAATTGTAGGTATACGCTTATTCTAGTATATCCACTGAAGTACAATTATATGTTAACTCTTAACATTTTTTAGACAAATTTAAACTTGATTTTTGATTGGTCAAGCATCAATGGATTTGTATTTTCTACAATAACATCAATTTAATTTTTCTTACTTTGGGTTATAGTTTAATTCTTATAAATTAATTAAAAATTGAATAACTTAAACAAAATAATCTGTTAGATGATTAAATTTTTTTAATAGTTTACCTAATTTGTGGTATATGGACAAGTTTAACAAATACAATTTTTTTTCAGTGCTTTGTACAGGTAATATTCTTAAATACCAAATTAATTTAGTAACTTAACATATTTATAGATTGTGATTATGAAGTATAATAGTAATAATAATATTATAATTCAATTGTTTTATGGTACCTACTCACTCAAACAATTTTAAAATTGTACAGAGTTATTAAAAACGAGTAATGACTATACCGGTAAGGTTTTTGCAATTAATAAATAATTAATTTTATAACATCAAATAACCTTGAACTACGAAATACATAAAAGTCACTCTTATGAAAATGTTGAATTATGTTTTACATACCCATTACCCAGGTGGTTTTTTTAATGCCGTATAAATTAATATTTTCATTTTTGTAGACAATTTTTATATTAGTATGTATATTTTTTGTTTTTATTTTATTTTATAAATATAGTTTTTATGATATAATTTATATAAAAAGTTACAAAACGGTGTAATTTAAAAGCCCAAAAACATTTTGAGTTTATAATTTTTAGTAGTTAAATTTAAGAGAACACCATATTATGTTCAACGATACTTCAGCATTGATTTACGCATATTGTATACACAATAGGATTGACAAAAATACTAAAATATAATTTCATAAAATATGACAGATTTTGATTGAAAAATAGGTAAAAATGCAAAAAAGTCTCAAAAAACCCAAAAAGGAGTAAAAACTAAATATCGTAAGATATGCAAAAAAAGCAAAATAAAATTTTTAATTTGAGTTTTTTGTATCGTGATTCTTAAAACATATTGATAGCTTACTCTGCTATTTTTTAAGCATCTCATGAGAAATATGCAAATACTATAAAATACCAACCCTGTTCATAACCTTTATAAATGTTTTTAATTTTAAAGAAAAGTGTTCCTTAATAAATAATTATAAGTTTTGTTTGAATAGATTCGTGATTCTTCATACACCAAAAATTAAATAACTTTAAAATGTGAAATACACAAAAAATCACTCTTTTGAAAATGTTGAATGATTTTTTACATACCCAGGTATTTTTTTTTCTTGACTTATTAACTAATATTTTAATTTTTGTAGTAAATTATAGTATGTATATTTTTGTTTTTATATTTCATTAAAATATGCATCATTTTATACAATATGGGATTTAAAGATTATAATATCAAAAGCTATTATGTCCGTTTGTAAATAAAAATAGACTTCGAAGATCAGAAACATTTAAGTACATATTCTTCGTTGTACTTCGTTGTGTCTCAATTTAAATATGAGAAATTGTTTTCTAAAAAAGTGACATTCAAATTAAAAATTTTAATAGCTGTTATTAATTATAATATTTTTATATTCTAATACCTATAAAATAAGGTGTTTAATGGTTTCTACATAAACTAAAAATTGAATTACTTTCAATTATGAAGCATGCAATATAATAAGGGTATTTTTTTATACACACGTAGTCAATACTTTTAATATCCACACATCATAATTCATATTATTTCATTAAAGGCAGAGAAAACCAAAATGGTCAACCACATTAAATACATCTATAATTCCATGTTACATTTAAAATATTAGTGTTAACTTTGGTGTATTATATATTGTTTTACAGCAAACTCAAGTAAGTATTTTTTATATTCATTGCTATATTTCTACTTCTCCTACTCCTAATGACAAATCAAATTTCTTGAGGAAGTATTTGTATTTAATTTCAAATAAGTTATGTTAGTTTATATTGTTCAGAAACTGTTCATAAATAGTTAAATGTGTCTGTTAAGTACTCAACCCATTTCAAACCAAAAATAACCAAGCATTTTATTACATTAAAACTATATTATATTTGTTTAATTGATTATATTGCGAGACTTTACACTTCAAACTTAGTTCGGAAAATTCTTGTCATTCCACGATGTTCCGACTTAAAATACGGAAGAAGAATACGGTCTTCTTTTTGACCACACGACAAATTTATAAAATATAAACAATATATCAATTAATAATATACTTACTACTATTTAGTATTTGGTCACGAATGTAAATGTCAATACGTTGTGCAACGTTATTCAATTTTGTCGAGACAACGACACTTCTATATTTCATGTTGCATTAGGTCTTATTTTAGGCTATTAAATTTCTAATAATCAGAATCAATTAATGATTTAACTGGATTTTATTTTAAAGAAAATATTTATTTAATCCACCAATTTAATTGTAAAATTTTTCCTGTCAATAGTATTGTTATTACTAAACAACTAACTTCTAAATCAAACCAACTACAAGAAATACACACAAAATGATGTATCACATGAAGATTGTAAAAAACAAAAATACTAGGGTTCTGTGTTTACCAGATAATTATAAAAATAAAATAAAATGAAATCGTAAACACGTATTTTTTAATTATTTCAAGTATGCTTTTTTCAAACCACATATTGCAAACAACTTATTGTGACTATC